AAAACCAAAAACAACAACAACAACAACAAAAAAAAAAAACACTAGACCAGGGTAAGGTAACCAGAAATTTTTGTCATTATTTTTCTTTGAAAACAGGGTTTATTGATTTGATTTGAGGTTTTTGTGTGTGTCGGGGGGTTGAGACAGGGTCTCTTATGTAGCTCTGTCTATACTAAAACTTATTATGTAGACCAGGCTAGCTTCAAACTGAGAGATCCACCTGCCTCTGCCTCCAAAGTGCTGGGATTAAAAGTGTGTGCCACCATGCCTGGCTGGTTTATTTATTTTTCTTTCTTTCTTTCTTCCTTTCTTTTGTTCGTTTGTTTTGTTGTGTTTTTTTTTTTTATTTTCAAAACAGGATTTCTCTGTGTAGCCCTGGCTGTCCTGGAACTCACTCTTGTAGACCAGGCTGGCCTTGAACTCACAGATCTGCCTGCCTCTGCCTCCTGAGTGCTGGGATTAAAGGTGTGCGCCACAACTCCTGATGAGGTCCATTGATTTTTAAACTCAAATAGTCATTACAAAAAGGGTTTTTTCTTTTAAACAAATTCACACAAAGAAATAATAGAAAATGACAGCAGTGACTAGTAAGAGGAATAATAACTATATTCATTCTGTGTGTGTGTAGCAGTTCTGTTTACTCTAACATTAGGAAACATGAAAAATCCAAAGTCCAAAGCCTGAAATCTTCGAGCAGAATGTCTTAAATAAACACATAAAGTCAAAGGGTTTTCTGGCTCCACCCCTTTTAAAGAACTATGCATAAAAGGCCATCTTCCTTCTTTATACTCACAGTACTTTGAATCCAGTCTCAGTCCTCTGTCTAAAGAAACTCAACTTCGAGTCCAACACAAAAGGAGAATTTCTAAAATAAACAATGCAACAGTTTTCTTTAAAAATTAATTTCTCTTTTCCTCCTTTTTTTTTTTTGAGATACTGTCACACTACATAGTCCTGGCTAGCCTGGAACTCACTATGTGGACCAGGCTGGCCCCCAAATCACATTGATCTGCTTGCCTCTTCCACCCCAGTGCTGGGATTAACTATGTGTGCCACCATACCCAGCCTGGCTTTTTGACTTTTTATAATGAAATAAAAAAGGGATATAAAGATAGCTCAGCAGGTATTTGGTGCCAAACCCAACCACCTAAGTTCTATCTCCAGGACCAACATGGAAGGAGGAGCGAACCAACTCCCAACGTTGCCACACATGCACATGGCATACACACACACACACAGTGCATAATAAAATAAAATATCTAAGAATTCAAAGTTACAGGCTGGAGAGATGGCTCAGCGGTTAAGAGCACTCACTGACTGCTCTTCCAGAGGTCCTGAGTTCAATTCCCAGCAACCACATGGTGGCTCACAACCATCTGTAATGAGATCTGGTGCCCTCTTCTGGCCTTCTGTCATATATGCTGTATACATAATAAAAAAATTTAAAAAATCTTTAAAAAAATTCAAAGTTACAAAGAATGTTGAAGGATAATATATTAAAACTGGGAAAGCAGGCTTTTTTTAAACTTATTCTTTCCCAGATAGCCAGTGAAGTCTGTCCACATGCCATTCATTCTTACTTCACTGTGAACCTTTAAAATGGAGGTCGTTTCTTCCCAGTTCCCCCAGGCATGTCACATTCTCTAATGAAATGGAGATTTTGATTACATCTCTTCACTTCGCGTGATCAGAAGACCACTTGCAGGGGTAGCTCCTCTTCTTCCATTATGAGTCCCAGAGATTGAATCCAAGTCAACAGGCTTAGCAGCAAGCGCCTTTCCCTGCTGAGCCATCTTGCCAGTCCTGAAACAGGCATTTTCCATTGTAAAAGGCATCGTGTTAGAGCCGTGAAATACTCTGGAAGGAGGCCAACTTGAATGGAGTTGTCAGGTAGAAAGACAGAGCAATGGGAAAGAAAGAATATGAAAAAGAAAGGTAGGAAGGCAGCAACAAGTCTTGGAAAAAAACGTAGGGAGGGAGGGAGAGGGAGGGCAAGAAATAGAGAGGGACGGGTGGAGGGAGGGATGGGTGGAGGGAGGGAGGGAGGAGGGAAGACCTCGTGTTGAATTCTGCTGTGGAGGGCATTCAGGAGGGCAACCATCTCATGAACAACTAAATAATCGCCCCCAGGTTGTACAGGGGTGCATGCTATCTTCACTCATCTCTGCTAACTTACCTCAATGTTCTGGGCATCTGTCCTTGACGGCATGGGTCTTCCTTGGGACAGGGCAGAGAACACGATTCTCTGTATTGCATATCCCCTAACGAAACTTCATGAACATCTGTGACTTTTATCAATGGCCCAGAAATGACAAAGCATTCTTAAAGCTTCACTTGCCTTGGCGAGGAAGAAACAGGAAATGTGACCCTGATAAGATGCAAGGTTACAGTTGAGACACTGTCATATGAAGGAGGCAGCAGCAGTATGTCTAGAATTTTTTGTTTTTGTTTTAGCAGGGATCAGGATCAAATTTAGCTTGAACATGAACAACCTCAGCCCTTAACACATTCATTCATTCTTTCTTTCTTTTTTAAAGACAGGATCTCTCTCTATGTAGCCCTGGCTGGCCTGGAACTAATTATGTAGACCAGGATAGCATAAAACTCACAGAGATCAGCCTGCCTATGCCTCCTCAATACTAGGACTAAAGGCCTATGCTCCCATGACTGACCCATACGTTGTGTCTTATGTCCAGAATTCTCTTCTTTTCCCTTCTTTGTTGGGCCTCATTCTAGGTTCTCAAACAGAGAAGACTACCAAGGGCCCCTGCTCTCATGAAGTTTTAACATGCCTCCTACATGTGCCAGCTCAAATCAAATGTCATCTCAAGGGGAAAAAAAAAATCTTCCTTAAATGCATTGTAGAAAACGCCTTCCTGTTCTGTTTCACTGGGGTGTGTGACTTTACACATAACATTATAAATTAGTTGACCCATAGTCTTGTCTTTCTCATCTAAACTTATTAGTTATTGTTGAATCTCCAGCACCTGGCACCAATGTTTGGCATGCAACAGATATTCATAAACATTTATTAAATGAATACAGGAATGAACAAATTTGGGGCTGGAGATATGGCTCAAGAATTGCTCTTGAGCCGGGCGATGGTGGCGCACGCCTTTAATCCCAGCACTTGGGAGGCAGAGGCAGGCGGATCTTTGTGAGTT